TAACTTTACCAAGGTTATGGCTGTTTCCTCCTTAGTAGGAAGTTGGTAAATTTAAGTAGCTCAGCATAACTAGCCTCCATAGGCTACCGAAAGGTTGAAATGAAATGTAATGACCTATTGTGTGTGAAGCTACATTCCAGCTACCTGCTCATAGCACCGAAGAGAGTTTTCAGGAAACTGAGAGTAAATTTCCCTGAAACCACATTGGGTGAGTCAGACGGCTTTGCTTATCTCCAAGGTCTCAATCAACTAACAAATGTTTACCCAACTTCTCAAAATATTTGCACCCACAATTCTGATACATCCAAGCATAACTTGCACATTGTTAATCTATTCCCTTCAGTCTTCTAGGTGTGTTTCTTCCCAGATCTACCAGATCCTCGAACAACTTTAGGAACCTTCTCCAGAATTAAACAATGCTACCACTGCTATCAACTTTGTCTCTGAATGAGAAAGAGCATCACTTTAATATCCACTGAAAAATCTCTAATACAGTGTTACAACTATTCATCTATAGAAGCATTCCCGAAGAATCAATCACATGTGTCTACCAGAGCTGAGATGAGATCATGCATTGTTATGCCTACTTCCTTTATGGCTTCTAAGGGCAGTTCATATTATCCTGATTTTACAAACTGAGACCCAAGTAACCTGAATGACTTACGTTTCTTCATTATCCAACCCCACTAGGTCAACAAGCCAAATTCAAATGTGAGACTTGTCCTACACAAAGAGACAGTAATTCAAGAAATAGTTTTCTGATTCTGTTAAAATAATCAAAGAGTTTTGTGGTAAGTACTTGAGGGTGAATGGTGTGACTTGCAATAAAGTTACACTCAAGTATCCCTGAGGAACCAAGCTCTCAAACTAATAATCAGTAATCAGAGCATGTAAAATAAAATCACGAAATGCCAAGTTACACCCACTAGATACGCAAAAAGTTTAAAGTGTGGCAAAACCAAGTTTGAGCTAAGACATGCACTGTTAATGAGAGTCTAAATTGCTATATATACTTGGAAAGCTTGTTCACATGATCTTGATATTAACTATGACCCAGAAATTTCACTTCAAGGCATGTACCCTAGAGAAATTGTTGAACTTGTACCAGTACATCTAGAGACATGTACAAACATGATCATAGCAGCACTGCTTTTACTAGCAAATATCCATCTCAAATGTCCATCGATAATAGAATTTAAAAGGGGGTGTGGAATTGTGAAATGGTAACATAACGGAACAGTGTTCAGCTGTTAAGATAAAGAAACTATAATTAAACATAAAGTTACATTTCAAAAATATGATGTTGAAAGAAAAAGAACCATCAAAATAATACATATGTTTATAAATTCTTAAAACATGCAATACGAAATACACATATTTTAAGGAAGCATTCCTATGAAGCAAAAACACTTTTAAAAGGCGGAAGAGTGATAAATATAAAATTCAGAATAGTGGTTACCTCTGAGGGCAAGAAAAGGAGGACAGTTTTGGGGAGAAAGACATGGAACCCAGAGCAGAGGCAGCCTGAATTTTCTTTAGCCCTGGTGTCTGTGCTTTGCTCCCTCATACCTTCCCTATGCTAAATACAGTGTATTCTTCTATGTTCATGAAATAGTCTTTAACATTTTTTTTTTAAACGAAGTGTCTGGGTAGAAAATAGAATAGAATGGAGTGAGGGAACTATTGCTTTTATTCAGAAGCTATTGCATACTATTTTTAAAAGCAGGCATGTTTTACATCCATATAAAAAATAAATAAAAGCTTTAAGAACTTGCCTCCCCAATACTATGGAGCAGTAAAAAAGAAGGATCTCTTACCCCCTGAGGCAGCATGGAGGAACCTGGAGGGTATTATGCTAAGCAAAATAAGCCAGTCAGAGAAAGACATGATCAAGTATCACATGATCTCACTCATAGGTACAATCTAAAGAACAAAATAAGCTGATGAACAAAATAGATTTAGAGACGTAGAAGCATGGAACAGACTATTGAATTCAGAGAGAAGGGAGGGTGTTGTGGTGGGTGGGAAGAAATTAACCAAAGAATTTATATGCACATATGCAGAACCCATGGACACAGACAAAACAGGGTGAGGGCTTGGGGGGAGGGGGGAGGGAGGCTATGGGCTAGAGGGGTCAATGAGGAAAAATGGGGAAATCTGCAATACTTTCAACAGTAAAGATAAATTTAAAAATAATAAAATAAAAAGATTAAAAAAAGAATTTGTCTCCCCAAAAGTGTGTATGTTGGGGGTTGGGGTGTTAAGGCATACTTGCAGGCCTGAAAAGAGAATGATATATTTTATATATTTGTTCCCATCTACACTAATAAAAGAGAAAAATGGTAATTGGCGTACGGCGCTACCCTTTTCATTCGCTAATCAGGGCTATATGCAAATTAACTGCCAACTAAGATTGGCAGTTAACTGCCAACAAGATGGTGATTAATTTGCATATGTAGGCACAATGCAGGGAGGCGAAAGGGAAAGCAGGAAGAAGCCCCCTGCTACTGACAGTGATCGGAAACCCAGGGGGAAGCTAAGAGCTTGGGGGCCGCCTTTGCCCTGCCCCCCAGCCATGATCGGAGAATCAGGCGCCTTTGCCGCCCTGGCCAGTGATAGCAGGAAGTAGGGGTGGAGCCAGCGATGGGAGCTGGGCATGGTCGAAGCTGGCAGTCCCGGGAGCTAGGGGTCCCTTGCCTGGGCCTAAAGCGGAGCCCACGATCGCGGGGCTGCTGCAGCTGCGGGTCCCCCGCTGCCCGAGCCGGACGCCTCAGCCAGAGGCGTTAGGCCTGGGCAGGGACGGAGCCCGCGCGATCACGGCCCCCCTGCTGCCACTGTGGGTACCTGCTGCCCAAGCCGGATGCCTAGGCCAGAGGCGTTAGGCCTGGGCAGGGGCGGAGCCTGCAACTGCGGTGAGCTGGGGGTCCCCTGCCCAGGCCTGACATCTCTGCCGGAGGCCTCAGGCCTGGTCAAGGGGCCGATCCGGTGATTGGTGATCGGAGGGTGATGAGGGTCAACTCCTCTGGCCGAGGCATCAGGCCTGGGCGGGGGGCGGAGCCGAAGATTGGGGGGATATGATGATCCCCTTGCCCAGGCCTGAAGCCTGGGTCAGAGGCGTCAGGCTTGGGCGGGGGGTGGAGCAAGCGATCAGAGGGAGATGGGGGTCCCCTGCCCAGGCATGATTCCTGGGCCAGAGGCCTCAGGCCTGGGCGGGGGTTAGAGCCAGTGATTGGGGGGACATGGGGGTCCCCTGTCCAAGCCTGACACCTCTGGCGGAGGCGTCAGGCCTGGGCAAGGGGCCAATCAGGTGATCGGAGGGTAATGGGGGCCTACGCCTCTGGCCAAGGCATCAGGCCTGGACAAGGGGCAGAGCCAGCAATCGGAGGGGTCTGGGGGTCCCCTGCCCAGGCCTGATGCCTGGGCCAGAGGCATAAGGCCTGGGCTGGGGGCAGAACCAGTGATGGGGGGAAATGAGGGCAAGGGGCCAATCCTGCGATTGGAGGGTGATGGGGGTCAACGCCTGAGGGCTCCCAGTATGTGAGAGGGGGCAGGCTGGGCTGAGGGATACACCCCCCCCACACACACACCCAGTGCACGAATTTCATGCACCGGGCCTGTAGTTTGTATATAATATTTTTAAGCATATATGCATCCTGGAGTATGCAAAGAAAATTTCTGGGTAGATGTAGAAGAATCTACAGCATTCATCTCTGACAAGTAGATTCACTTTTCATTTTATTATATAACTAGTGGCCCGGTGCACGGATCCATGCACACTGAAAGGAAATTAGTTAGAAGAAATATTTTAATATCGCTATTTGCCCTTTCTCTATAATAGAAGTGTCAGAGATGAAAGAAAATTAGTAAAATGTATGTGAAAATGGTATATAAATTGATTAATAAATAAACAATAACAACATGATATAAAAACAACAAAAACATGATATAAAAACAACATTGATAAAAACAATGACTGATAAATTGATTAAACTTATTCTAATATCTCCTTGTATACCACATTAAGACCAAAAACACTTTCAGATTTCCCTTGTGATGAAGTATTTACAACTTAACGTCACGCGCTCATCGAACTCGAGAGAAAGCAACATATAACTGACCATGTCCAAAAAGGGGTTCAGGTAGGAATGTTCCTACTTTGTCTAGAGTTTGTCCTTGTGATTTATTAATAGTCATCGCAAATGCTGGCATCACGGGAAACTGTCTTTGAATTCATTTAAATGGGACGCCAGTGTCAGACGGGGACAAATATTGTGCATGTGCGAGTCAATGTTTAGTTTTAAATTTCCAGTGCGCATCATACATAGCGTCCGGTTGGTCAGTCGACGGTCGGATGGACGTACAGTCGGTCACTCAGCCTTTTATATGTATAGATTGTCCTTTCTTTTTAATTTTACTTTTTAGATTACTTTATTATTTACTTTATTTTACTATATGACCTTTATGTTTCTAATTAAATTATTATTTTTTTCATTTTTTTCTCTTTATTGATTAAGGTATTACATATATGTCCTTATCCTCCCCACCCCCACTCTCATCCCCCCCCACTCATGCCCTCACACCCCTGGTGTCTGCATCCATTGGTTAGGCTTTATGCATTCATACAAGTCCTTTGGTTGATCTCTCCTAATTAAATTATTTTTAATGAAGTCGGAGAAGAGGATGAAAGAAAGGAGGACTCCTGTCCTGGTGACTTTAGCATTGGGCGCACCACCCCTGCGTCCACCAGGTTTGGAGTGTTGAACCCACCTCCAGTTTCCCGGCATCCTGGCGGGGGACCCTGCCACCTGGCGGGACTAAGGGCTCTCAGCGGGACTAGCAGGGAGGGGTGGGCGGAGACGAACCCCGCCCCGCCCCGCCGCGTAGCCGGGAGGTTGCCTTGGCAACCGCGCCTGGCGTGGCCTAAGCTCACAATCGACCCCATCTGGGTGGCTCCCGCCCCGCCCCCTGCGCTCACCTGTTCGCCCGCTCGTGCTGGGCGGACCCGGGGCCCATGGACACACACCCACCCTTGCCTGCAGCCCCGCGCGCCTGCTCGCCTTCTCTGCCCGAAGGGACACCATTCACCGCTGGCTGCCCAAGCCTGGCTCCGGGAGCCCGAGGTCGTGGCTGGGGCCGGTGCCAGGCAGCAGGGAACCAGAGCTGGGTCCACCGTACGCCCCTGCAGGCCGAGGCGCAACGGAGTCGCGGCCCAACGGGGTCGGACATCCGCGGCTCCTGATCACCCCCAGGACTGAGAGGTGAGCCGCCCTAGCATCTTTCCCTTGAAATTCGAGTCTACCCACCCTCCCCTCTGGATTCTTCTGAGACTTAAAACTGAAAGGGAGAGTAAAGACACACACACCCCCAATGTGGGTAGGGTGAGTTGAGACCCAGGGAAGTTTGATTATTCATAGCGAGCCTGTATTGAGAGACTTTGCTAAGTACTTTCAAAATCAGCGCATTTCCTCTTCACACATCCCCGTGAAGTTATTCCCATTCCACAGATGAAAAGACTGAGGCACAAACTCCTTAGGTAACTGTCCACGTTTGTCCAACCAGTTTGTATAAATTATAATGCAGAGAAGGACAGATCACAAAAATAGATTCCTCCACCGCCACTCCTACACTCTTTCTACTCTTCCAAGTATGTCTCCCTCCATTCCTCTTTCTAACAAACACCTTTATCTCACAAACTCCTCTGAGAAGTTTATGAGCTCCATGGGTCTCTCCCCCAGAGGAAAAATGCACCTGCATATCCCCCCGGCCCACACACACAGATTTTCATATTTAGAGTTTCAGACCCAACATGCTGGGGTGTGCATATATGTGGCGACTCTCCTAGGATCAAAGATGCTACACCATTTACAAGGAACCCAGCACTAGAGGGCAGGATTTCTCTTATTTTCTTCAGTGGGGTGAGGCTCTTGGTCAGTAGTGGATGTTGGTTGTGTAGGACAGTGCATAGGGCACTGTTCTCTCCCCAGCATTTTGGGATTTTAGTTGGAAAGGACACAAACCACAGAACTAGTCCACAGATTGCTGAATCATTCTGGTAGCTTGATTAGATAATGCCACATGCTGCTAATTCTTTGGGATGGGAGCTGTCCCGTCCCAAAGAAGCAGTCAGAGACAACAATGAAGTCACTGATTTGGAAGTCTTTGTTCACACCAATGAGGTGGCATTGATTTAGTACAATCAATAAGCTATTGGGGAACATCATATTTTATTCTGTGTAGGATGTACAGTATGACGACACTGCACCTAACAGCATCTGACTGATAATAAAACCAGCTATAAATAGTAGTTAAAATAAATGTCACCAAGCACGCAGAAGAGGTCAAGTAGATGACTTCTGAGGAAGTTTAGGACTTATTGGGGGCCTATTTATACACACGGTTCTAATAGGCTTCCTTATCTGGTTTCCTAGTTCACCACACATTATAAACAGATTAGAAGGGAAGAGAGGGGCTACAGCAAACAGGGCATTAAAACTAAAAGTCACATGATGGAAAGGAAGAAGCACAAAGAATAATCAGCAGGCAGAAGAGTGAGGAGAAAGGAAGGACAAGACAACAGCACACATCTGATGTTGATGGTCACAAGAAACTCCTCTTTGCTCTCACCCAGTCTCATGTTTCCCTGCAACCACCTCATAATTCCGCATAGACCAGGCTTAGATTTCTCTCCTGAATTATGCATCCTATTGCCTTGTGGATTCTAATTCAGCATGCTCAAAGCTCAACCAGCTACACACTCTAACCAATCTGGACCCCATCCTGAGCTACCCATCTTAGGTACAGGTAGCCAGTTGCTCAAGCCAGAAACCTAGGAATTGTTTTTGATTCCTTTCTCTGCTCAGTCTTCTAACGTTTTGGTTATCTACTGAGTAAACATTTATTGAATGCCTCATATGCCTCAGGTTCTGACTGGTGTAGAAGTAATCCTATATAATAAAAGGCTAATATGCAAACTGAACAGATGGCAGAATGACCAGTCACTATGCCATGCACTGACCACCAAGGGGCAGATGCTTAATGCAGGAACTGCCCCCTGGTGGTCAGTGTGCAGCTGGAAAGTGCAGTGGTGGTGGCGGGAGCCTCTCCTGCCTCTGTGGCAGTGGTAAGGATGTCTGACTGACGGCTTAGGCCCGCTCCCTGCTAAGCCATCAGTCAGACATTCCCCGAGGGCTCCTGAACTGTGAGAGGGTGTAGGCCTGGCTGAGGGACCCCTCCCCCACCCAGCCCCCAAGTGCATGAATTTCATGCACCGAGCCTCTAGTGGTCATTATAAAGCTGCTGTTGCATGGAGGCTACATACTAGTGGGGAAGATACACAATATATAAATTGAATATATCTATACACATTGATAGAAATGTTATATAGAGAAATGTTTCATTTCATTATGAAGAAAATGAACCCAAGGAATGAAGTTACATGGTGGCATCAGTTTTAATGGTGAAAAGTGCCAAACAAAGGAAATTCTGAGCAAAGGGCACTCCAGGCTCAGGGAACAAGACATTCCAGAGACAGGAATGAGCTTTTGTTCCATAAACAGAAAGAAGGCTAGTGTAGCTGGAGATCACTACGTCAAGGGAGATTGAAGTGAAGTCTGAGGGTCTGGAGAGGGGACCTGAATAGGTCATCAGAGTGTGTGTGGTTTTTTCTGATAATAATGGAAAGATATTGAAATTTTTTTAAAATATATTTTATTGATTTTTACAGAGAGAAAGGGAGAAGAATAGAGAGTTAGAAATATTGATGAGAGAGAAACAACAATTCAGCTGCCTCCTGCACAATCCCTACTGAGGATGTGCCCACAACCAAGGTATATTGCCCTTGACCGGAATCGAACCTGAGACCCTTCAGTCTGCAGGCTGACGCTCTATCCACTGAGCCAAACCAGTTAGGGCGAAATGTTTTTTTAAAAGGTGGTTTGGAAAGAATGTTCTGGCATGAGGTAATGTTCTATATCTTGAGAGGAGATTGGTTTACATAGATATATCCATTTTTCAAAACTCACGGAATGGCACACTTAATACTTATACATTTCATTGCATATTCAAAAGGTTAAAAAAAGAGCTATAAACAAATATTAAACAAAAATTAAGGATATCTATGCTGAAACATGTCTGCAATTTATGTTGAAATGGATCAGAAAAATACAATGGATAGAGATGCAATAAAGCAAGTCAAGCATTAATGGTAGGATCTCAATGGTAGATACATGGGTGTTCAGTTTTTCTTTATGTTTAAAAAGAGTTATACTAAAATGTTGGGCTAGACGTTTGTCTGGTGTTATCTGATCTACATTTAAAAAGATGTTTCTGGGTCTGAATAGAGAATGAGCCATAGAGGGCTGTTGTGGAAGCAATGAGACAAATTAGCAGCTATAGCAATGATCTGGCCTAGGAAAGTACCACTGGAAGTTGATGTCAGGAGGGAGAGTTGACAGGATAATAGGGGATCTGTGAGGGAAAGAAAGAACAAAGCGTAACTCCTAGTTTTTTACCTGAGTAGGTAGATGGATAGTGATGTCATTATTGGAAATGAGGAGAACTATTGGAAGTCTGGGTGATAGCAAGAGTTGTGTTACATTTTTGATGCCTATTAAATATCCAAGTGACAATGAAGAGTTGACTGGTAGATACATAATTTTGGAGCTCTGGGGAGAGTCAGAGATGGCTGTATACATTTGAGTGAACAATTAGAAACTGCAAATTGGAATAAAGATCTCATCACATTGGATGAGATCACGGGGTAGGGAGGGGTGTTTGAGAATAGAGAAGGGTCCTGAGGGCTTAGCCCTGGGTACTCCAACAACTAGGCTTCTAACAGAAAGAGGGGGAACCAGCAAAGGAGACTAAGCAGTGGATGGGGAGGTAGGAGGGAAACAGGCCACGGAGATGTTATGGTTGCCTAGAAAGACACAGTTAAAGAGGAAACAAGTGGTCAGCGGTACCACTCTTTGCCATAGGGAGTGTAGATAAGGGAGCGGGTTTGTGGTAGGGAAAAGAGAGTCCAGTTTCAGATTTTGTAGTAAGATTGAATCTTTCCATTGCAAATACAAGGAACCCAGCCAACTGGCTTCTACCAAAATAAGGTTGGGGAAGGGTATTTTTGCTCATGCAACCCTGAACATTTAAGCGGTAGGTGATTCCTAGCACAACTGGGTCCTGGATGTAGCTGCTGCCATCCAGCTCAGCCTCTCCTGCAGGCTCTCTGTGACGGCCCCAGCCCACACCCCCCTGCTTAACCACTAGCAGAAAGAGCTGCCTTTCCATACAGTTCTGGCAGAATGGTCCACGGGATGCTGATTGGCTGATGTCTCTTAGCATATTCTTGAGGCATTCACTGTTTCTGGGGAGAGTGTTCCCTCACACAGGCTAAGCCTGGGTTGCAGACCAATTCTGATCACAGGAGATGAAAGGGGCAGCCCCAAAGGTTGAGGTGGAAACTTGTCTGATCTTATCTGATCTACATTTTTAAAATATTTTTTTTTCTGGGGACTGAATAGAAATTGGACTAGAAGAGCTGTTGTGGAAGCAGTGAGACAAATTAGAGGCTGTGACAATGACTTGGTCCATGATAGTACCACTGCACCATCTGAATGGTTTTCCTATATGATAACAGGTTCCTCCAACCCCAGAAAAAAATATGGAGGAAAGCATGCTGGGAGTGCCTAGTCTGGCCTACCCTTCGGTTCAAAAGATTACCTCATTGTCACATAAGATGACAAAAGAATTGCCTATCTCTCTTTGGTATTTCACAGAGCACAGTAGATTCCTGTTTAGAATGAGCATCTCAAAACGCTGCATGTTCTTTATCACATTTTTTAACGACTAAAACCCATATGGTCTCTACATTGGGGGGACATGCTAGTACAGAGCTATATAGTGGGGAGCTCAATTCCTTACCTTGGCAATTTAATTAGCCTCACCTTGTTCATACGTAAATGGGATGTTTGCATCAAGGAGGGAAAATTAGAGATAACAGGAAAACCACATAGTATTCATTATGATGAAAGATTAGTTTTGAAATATTTTAACTTTATACTAGTTGAAGGTTTTTGTATTTTGTAACTTCTATTTTCATGAAATCAGTTGCAATAAATTATGGTAATAATATTTCCATATATTATTTCCATAATAAGAAACAGCCTCTCTTCTTGGAGAAGCTTTAAAATATTATTATTTAATCAAAATCAAGGTGACATAATTAACTTTGAGTTCCATGTTTTGTTTTGTTTTTGTATGTATGGGTTTTTTTGTGTGTGTGTTTTGTTTGTTTGTTTCTGCTTTAGTATTTGCTTTGGTCCACAAAAGCATTTTCAAGAAGTTGGTCAAGTATGGCTTTAGCAGATAAGAGACTTGAGAACCTGCAAATCTACAAATGTCTCCAGTGTGTTCGGAACAAAGACAAGAAGCAGATAGAGAAGCTGACCAGACTTGGTTACCCTGAACTAATCAATTTCACAGATCCTATTGATGGACAGAGTGCTCTGCACTTAGCCTCGGTCTCCAATGACACTGACATGGTCAGCTTTCTCCTTAGCCTTGGTGCCCACCCTGATGTGAAAGACCGAATGGGCTGTACTCCGGCAATGAGGGCTGCAGAACTGGGCCATGAAATGTCCATGGAAATATTAGCCAAGGCAAAGGCGGATATGACTCTAGTTGATAACGAAGGAAAAGGTAAAAACCCCAACGTTCTATCTAGCAGATGCAATCCTTTTTATAGCCAGAAATCAATAAAGTGAAGTTTTTTGCTTTCCAACTTTAGAAGTGAATTACTCCTGCACCTAAGAATACCAACTCCCTATAATTTGAAAATGGTGTAGGTAAATCTTAAGGGAAACCAGATCTGATAGTTTTTTCATATAAAAAATTAGATTAATCTGTTAGGTGGTTTTTCTAAATGGAGGATTTTCAAATGACACACATTAATATTATTGTCATCCTAATCATTCATTATGAAATATTGTTTAGACCAAACGAGGGAGAGCATTTCTTATTCTTTTTTACAGTTTAGAACTGGGAGTAGTACTAGACTTAGGACTTCAGAAGGATTTTGTTTCTTCTTAATAGTCTGATGTAAAAAGGAGTTTGTTATACTTGGAAATCTGAAGGACTAAGGTGGATTCTGGCATAAACTCCAACTTTCTAGGGTCATTTTAAATAATTGGACTTCAAATTGACACATGGCATTTCTATGATTATTCAGGTGAGACAGTCCCACTCCTCCACATTGCTCCCCTCCCTCATCCCATCTCAATACCATGGTCCCGGAGCTTCTTGCCCAGATCACCCCAGGTTCCAGCAAAAGTTGACATAACCTCACGAAAATCACTAAGAAAATTACTACTAGGCTTAATATAAATTGGTAGATTTCATCATTTGTCCCAAAGAGTTGCATCAAGTACAAAGCCATTATCATCAGCCCACAGTAGAGAAATGAATCCAGTTTTATAATGTTAATGTTTTCTAACAGGAACAAAATGTATTTTTGTAACTCTCTCCAAACAGTCACTTGCTTAAGAGAAAGGAGAGGACAGAGACAGGAAGAGTTATTTAACTGCTTTCTGGCACCACGTAAGAAAGTAAACTGCAGATGCATTCCAGGGTCCAATGTAATTTAAAATGTCATATCCTAAAAACAAAACAAAACAAAAACAGAACCTCTCAAAGCTCTATTGAACATCATTTTCCAAAGTGTGTTTCACAGACCATTGAATCACTGGGATGTTGATAAGTGGTACATGCAACATTGGTTTCACTGTCAAATTCATTGGAGAAACATTGGAGGAAATATATTTAGGCATGTTGATTTCACATTTGTCAGACAGACTAAAGATGATGACATTATCCATATATATTTGACCATAAAATAGTTTTTCCTTATGTCATCTTATTTACCTAGAGTTTTGTTTAATACACTTTGGGAAACACTGTAATGAAACATGTTTACCTCCTTGAGTGTGAAAAAGAAAAATCACAAGGAAAACAGGTGGAGAAATTGTATAGCATAAATATCTAAAATGGTAAAATTATGGGGGAAGGTCAATTAAGAAAAATAAAATAATAAAATTGTAAAATTAAAACTAATCAAGGTGAAAATAGAAACAAGGTCAAGTGAGTGTTTGAAGCAAATATTAACAGCCGTTAGGTTAAAATTGGAGCTCATTCAAATTAATATTAAACTTATCGAGGTTCTGGAAGTTGAGCGTCTGAGAAAATGATATGGCAAATCACATAGGAAAAGATAGAAGTAGCAAATGAAACTTGAAACATATATAAAATCTTGTCTCACACATACCCTTATTAATACTGCCCTATATTGCTTTGATTCTAAAGAACCCATTCTGTGCTCCCAGCAGCAAGTGTCTCATCTTCCCCACATGAATGAACCTAGTTCACCTTGCACATCCCGCAGTTTGACTGCCACTTGCCAAACTGTTTTGCTTATTCCACCATAGTCTCTCTGCCATTAACATCCTATTTTCCAGAGACTGATGTTTGACCCACTGCACATTGTTTCTAAAGGATAAGCAAACATTTAAATGATTAAAAATACTTACTGGATCCTTAGAAGCATGTGGGACATATTCTACCCCCACTTTGTAATTTCTCTTTGAACTGCTTTGCGGAATATGAAGAAGGTAAGGCTCTCAGCCACACCTGCTTGTGACTGTTTCCTACCACAAGCTGAGTTTCTTTTTTGGTTTTTCTATCCTGGTGTTTCAATTTATTTCAGAGGGAAAACAAAGACAGATATGCCTTTGCTCTATCACTGTAACTAGCTAATTATGGATTTTAAAATTATCTTTCCTTTTTATCTAATTGAAATGTATAGAAACTATTCATAAGTATTCTTTGGTGATTCTATTTTTCTACAGGTATTTTGTTTTACTGCATTTTACCTACTAAGAGGCATTATCGCTGTGCATTGATTGCCCTGGAACATGGCGCAGACGTCAACAATTGTAGCTATGATGGAAAACCGGTGTTCCTTAGAGCTTGCGAAGCAGCACATGATATTAAAGAAATGTGCCTGACACTTTTGGAAAAAGGAGCCAATCCAAATGCTATCAACACAGTATGACTATTCCTGTGATTATAAATATTCATTTTTTTTCAATTATAGAGTCTTATCAGTGTAACTTCAGCATTTAGATATGGCAAAATTATTCTGTTAGCTTATAGACTGTTCATTTCTATTCAAAATGCTTTAAGATTATATACTTTCAATACCTTTATATTACCATAATCCTACAGCTTCTTTCCTAATTATGTTTGGAAAATTGGTATTTATTATGCATAAATGTTAAAAGATCATTATAGAAAATACACAAGGTATCACTAAATCCAAATAAAAGTTTATCTTTTTGAAAAGAAAATATGTAGTTATGCTGTATTTTTTATTAATTTTTCTCCCTCTTCTCATTTGGCTAATTGTATTGAATTTTCTTATGTTTTCATTGTAATTTTGAGACAAAATCAGATTTTTTTCTTAATAGAAAACACCTAAAATCTAATTTTAGCATATTTTTTCCCCTTTTTGCTCTACAATCTTTGCAAGAACTGCATTTTTCTCACAAGAACATCTGGTGTGATCCACTCTGACTTTAGAATTCTACATTTTGGATATTCACCCATTGCACTGGCTTCATTTTTCCTATTTGTTTCATGAAACTAATAAAAATGTAGAGAACTAAGCATGTCTGTGACTCTAAGGACAAATGGATTTAGATCATATTTATATCGAATATGTCGTTTAACATAAACAGCATTTCATCTGCTTTATATCCAGGCCACAGGTCGCACGGCTTTAATGGAATCGGCAAGAGAAGGAGTGGTAGAACTGGTTCGAGGGATATTGGAAAGAGGAGGTGAAGTGAATGCATTTGATAACGAGAGACATCAGGCTGCACATTTTGCTGCCAAAGGAGGCTTTTTTGATGTAATAATCTACTCTTCGCTTTAAAATTTGTTGCTAAAAATTTTCTCTCCTTTTTCTCAAAAATTTTAAATATTAATGTGGGTTCAATTAGGCAGGTTTTTTTCTGCATTACTATCTTGATTTCCTTGAATAATTCTAAAATTATATTTTACACCAACCATTATTTTTAAAAACATACAGCTCTTCAATTTTATCTGCTTGCTAATTTATACATGACTAATACTAGTAGTGTTTTTTCTGTATTCTTAACTATGACAACTTAAAAGTTTTGCCTACTGGGTCTACTGTATTTTATGCACTCCATTACATATTAGAATCTTCAAAATATATTATGATCTAATTGTGGGGAAAACAATGCCAACATACCCTTATCACCATGATTATATGTTGTGTATCTTATGATGCACCTAAATTGTAAACTCTATTCTGATTATCTGGACATTTCAGCAAAGGTTATCTCATAGGTACACTGACACTGCAGCAAAAAAAAAAAAAAAAAAAAAAAGGAACCAAAGATGGCCTTATTTTTTAAAATGCTGAATTATATCAAAAATTTCTTTACTCAATTTTCTCTGAGTTTTAACATAATTACCCTTAGTTTCTTCATTGAGTCTCTTCTCTGCAATAAAATATGCATCACAATAGAATTTAATTTGGCAAAGAATTTGCTCCTCTGATGATGTTTGCCATAGTCTGATGCTTTTTAAAATGGCCTAGATTTACCAAAATGCTAGTCCCCCAGCTGAATATAGAGTTTCTTAAACTCTAGCCAGGGGTGGGGAACATCCAGCCTGTGAAATCACTTCGTCTGGCCCTGGCAAGGCATTAGGGATGAGTTAATTAAGTGTCGGACAAAAGATAGCAGGCTAATTTTTAAGTTGATAATGTTGTATGGCCCTTTGAATAATGTTATAAATATCCAAATGGCCCTTGACAGAAAGAAGGTTCCCCACCCCTGCGTCAAGGTTGTTTGAGAGCAATTTTGGCAACGATAAAAATGTTGTATGTCTGTATTGTATAATAGAGTACAATACAGTAGCCACATGTGGCTTTTGAGTACTTTAAATATGGCTAGTGAAACTGTATTTTTAAGATTATTTTCTATTTAATTCATTTTGATTTAATTTTAAGTAATCACATGTGGCTAACATAATGTATTGGCTAGCACAGGTCTAGGAACAATCTTCATTCACTAAATGTACATTCCTATTCCCCTACATTATCCACTGTTTTACAGATATTGAAGCTTCTTTATGCCTACAATGGAGATATGGGACTGATTGGAATGAATGGGAACACACCACTTCATTATGCTGCCATGGGTGGTTTTGCAGATTGCTGTAAATATATAGCTCAGCGAGGTAAAATTTGCCTAGCAATTTTATGCTTAAAGTATTTATGGTTTATCCATGTTGTAGATAAGTAGGAAATTTGGGCCTGTCACTTGTTAGTTGCTTATGTTTTTCAGTAGCCCAACCCCACTCATGTATATAGAAAGAAAACTGAATTTATTTTCTTACTCTACTTTCTGTTAACTCAGGAGTCTGGTCTTAAAAGTGATAAGAACCCATTTTCCCAAATATTTTTAGGTTATTGTTCAAAATCTAATCATGAGTCAACAGCTTATTATAAAATGGTTATAGTTATTAAACTCCTTTTTTAAATATATGTGAACATCAATCTAAGCAAGGACAAGCACTAGAAACCATGTCTGTTAATCTTAATCCTTAATTATTTTATTAAAAATATTCTATTGTGTCAAGTGCAATGATAACTTCTGAATGATTTGAAATTATGAGGAAAATATTTTAGGGAGAAATATGAAATAAATTGAAAATGTTCATGGAAAATTTGAAATGTAAATAATATTTATTATTTTAGCTTTTTCTGTAGCTTTTAAGTAACTTAGTTAACTTAGGACTATAAACTATGTTATATATAACCTAATGATAATATTAACTAATTAAATTTAAAGAAATGGATCAATTTGTTAATTGCATGCTAATTGAATATACATTAAAATTTTTAATTCTTTGTTAGAGATGGGACAGCATTCTGCTGAACTGTATGGTAGTTTTCTTTTTTTCCAGTTTCTGAGAAATAGGCAAAACTTAAAGTCCTATGACTCTATATTAGAGCAGAGAAAGTGCTTTTGGGTTGTTGCTTTTTTTTTTTTTTTACAAGGGCACAGAATTTCAGAAGTCACTGGGACCTAGAGATTCCATACGTAGTCACTAATATTACATACTAGAGGCCCGGTGCACAAAAATTTGTGCACTCGGGGGGAGGGGGGTCCCTCAGCCCGGCCTGTGCCCTCTCGCAGTCTGGGACCCCTCGGGAGATAACCACCAGCTGGCTTAGGCTTGCTCCCGGGTGGCAGAGGGCAGGCCCAATCCCTAGGTGCAGCCCCTGGTCGGGCTCAGAGCAGGGCCGATTGTGGAGTTGGGGTGCCGCCCCCTGTCATACACAGAGCAGGGCGATCGGGAGGTTGTGATTCCACCCTCAGTCATGCTCAGGGTAGGGCCGATTTGGGGGTTGGGGCACCATCCCCTGTCACACTCAAGGCAGGGTCAATGGGGAGGTTGCGGTGCCACCCCGTCATGCACAGAGCAGGGCCAATCAGGGGGCTGGGGCATTTCTTCCTGTCACTCACAGAGCAGGGCCCATCAGGGGGGTTGGGGCTCTGTACCCTGTCACGCACAGAGCAGGGCCAATAAGGGGGTTGGGGCACAGCCCCCTGTCACGCACAGAGCAGGGCCCATCAGGGGGTTGGGGTGCCGCCCTCTATCACCCACAGAGCAGGGCCGATCAGGGGTTTGGGGTGCCACCACTCTCACACTCAGGGCAGGGCCAATGGGGAGGTTATGGCTCTACCCCATCACACATAGAGCAGGGCCCGTGGGTGGGGGGGGGGGTTGGGGCGCCGCACCCTGTCACACACAGAGCCGCAGGGCAATCAGGGGGTTTGGGCACTGCCCCCTGTCACGCTGATCCTGGTGCTAGGAGGCATATTACCCTTTTACTATATAGGATAGAGGCCTGGTGCATGGGTGGGTGCCGGCTGGTTTGCCCTGAGGGTGTCCTGGATCAGGGTGGGGGTCCCCACTGGGGTGCCTGGCCAGCCTGGGTGAGGGGATGATGGTTGTTTGCAGCTGGTCACACACCCTTCAGGGTGGGGGTCCCCACTGGGGTGCCTGGCCAGTCTGGGTGAGGGGCTGAGGGCTGTTTTCAGGCTGGGGGTGACTGAAGCTCCCAACCGCTCCTTTTTTTCTTTTTTTCTTTTTTTATTCTGGGCCAGCTTTAGCTTTGAGGCTTGGCTTCAGCTCTTAGGCCTCTGCTGCTGAAAGTAGGTTTCTGGCCTTTACTTACAATGTTGTGATCCGGCTGGCTGAAGCCCGGCAGGTTTCTGGGGTTTTGTTTAGCTTCTATATTTGTTACATAGTTGCTTGCAGCTCAGAGGCCTGCAGCGGCAGGCAGGGAACGTTGGAGTCCTCCGTCACTGAAGCAAGCAAGCCTCATGTTAGTTTCAAGCTGCCTGGCTGCCGGCCGCCATCTTGGCTGACAGTTAATTTGCATATCGCCCTGATTAGCCAATGGGAAGGGTAGCGGTCGTACGCCAATTACCATGTTTCTCTTTTATTAGATAGGATAAGTCTAATGTGCTGCCATAACTAATAGTGTACTAACTGATTACTCCTTCATCCTTCGAAATAATGAACACTTTTAACAAATAAAGGAAAACATATCAAATGCAATGTTTGCCCTCATAAACCATCTTATGAGTCTTGTTTTCAAATCTGTTATAATCGGCAGTTTATTCTGACATTTCATTTTTAATATAGTGTATTTCTAAAAACTAAACATCTGCCCAGATTGAGACAAGCTTCTTCAACTTTAACATGTCTATTGCTTTTTTATTGGGACAAACATCACCAAACATATACTCTATTGTTCACACACACATAGAAAGCAAAGGGTCAGAGCTTGGGCCATGCCAGAGGCCTTCCCTAGCCATGCAGAAAAGATTTATCTTCCTGGCCGAATCATAAAACTAGACTGTAGTTTTAAAACAAACATCTGAAAACGTTCTGAATTCTGTAACGGGTTTGGAAGTACAACCACGTCACCAGATCCTATGAGGGGGGCTCAATTCCATAGCAGCAGAATTACCAGTTACATTTCCGCTTTTAACATCTTAGATAAGTCCATCAGAGCAGCAAGAAACCATTAGCAATAAAATGCTCATTTCTGAGTAAACATCGATTTAGTCTCTTCTATACTTCATTGAAAAGGCTGACTTTCTTCCCACGTTAAACTATCTTCCTTAATATCCTCCTCTTTTGCCCCTAGTCCTGACACGGGAGGGAGTTTGGAGTAGTTCTACCCCATGGAAAATTTTCCCTTTCATGGGCCTTTGGCTGCTGATGTTCTACAGCACCAGCCCCACAGAGGAACATAAGTCACAAAGGGAATGGATGGGTCTTTAGTTATAATCATAAAGGAGGAGACAAAGTCTCCCAGGTCAAAAAGGGGAGGAAAAATACCTTCAGATTTGTTTTCTAAAAGGAGTGCTGAGGAGAGGAGGAAGGCATGTCTTTGGGAAGGCCAGAACAAAGGGTCAGTGAATCTTCAAGTGGAAGGGTTAGAGACCTTTTGGGAAGGCTTCACAGAGTGAAGATGAAGGGCAGATGAATGGGTTTGTTTGTTTATTTATTTATTTATTTATTATTTGAAACAGAGGAAGGGAGAGGGAGAGAGAAACAGATGAGAAATCAACATCAACATCACCTGGCTGCCTCCTGCATGCCCTCTGCCCCACCTCAGGCCCCCAAGCCCACAACCCAGGCATAAACCCTGACTGGAAATCAACTAGTGACCACTTGGTTCATGGGTTGGTGCTCAACTATTGAGCTACACTGGCTGGGCTACCTTAAGATCTTTAAGCTGAGATGTCTTAGTCTTTTATCCACATAAAGGTTTCTAACTAGGAGAAAACTGGGAACAGAAAATAAAATAGTAAGCTAAACAGCTTTAATAATCCTTGAATCTATAGTGCTGAAGTGAATATAGGAGTGAAATGGGAGGTGGTAGATAACCCCAGACACCCTGAATAAGCAAAAATGTTCAGTAAATAAAAAAGCATACTCAGAATTACTATGCAATTATTATGTTATGGAATTTTACTACTGAGACCCCTTCCTAATAAGTCACTGTTCTTAAAACTGTCCAATATAGAAATTTTAGAATCCTTATTGTCTCAATACACTTTTTCTATCACTAATAAACTTTCAGCTTGAGTATAAATTTTTAGTTTTTGACAATACTAAAGGAAATATTAATCTTGAAAAGCATCAGTGATTAATTTTCTTTTTGACAAGGGATAAAACTATAAAGTGTTAGAGAGGCATGTTTTATGTTAGCTGCCTATACAATTTGGTTGCTAGATATACTAATTGGGCAACAACTTTTTAATCATGTGATTTTGGCAAAGCAATCGAAGAGTCTTCTAGAATCAAAACACTAGGAAGAACTTCATAGTCTGACATTTATATACTTAATGGATTTTTAATGCCTCAAGACACTTATTATAGACAACATTGCCTTCCTGGTAGCAATAAGTAGAGCCCCACCACCACCATCAATTCAGAAACTATATTTATTTATGTAATGTTGGTCTCATCATTTTAAGGAAGAAAACAAAAAAAATGAATTTTAATATATAACTTGGTCAAATATAATACTGAAATCCTTTAGACTTGATGAACAAATTACTTCTTTTTTCTGTTAGGTTGTTCACATGGCTTTACTGAAAAAGAGCAGATCTATATAAATGACATTAATTTCACAGAGTATACAGATAAAATATCATTTAAGATTGCATACTGATTTATATTCATAATCATTCAAAAGAAACAGCTGTCCTTCAGCATTCTGAGTGCCTAAGGGCCTACATAAGCTGCCTGAATCCAGCTTTCCAAATTCAGTTGTCACCCTTACTCTTTTCCTGTTTGGCATGAAGAGTCCTTAGCAAATATCCTAATATAGTATCTATAGAGATTAATGTCTTAATCCTTTGGGGCAGATAATCTAAATTGGAAACATATCTCCCTTAGAAGTTACCAAAGTAAAGTGCAAAATAAATAACAGCTTAACTTTGTAATTATAATAGTCTAAATGTGCTCATCTCTATATATGAACTAGAGGCCCAATACATGAAATTCATGCAAGAGTAGGCCTTCCTTCCCCTGGCTGCCAGCACCGGCTTCCCTCTGGCACCCAGGCTTCCCTCCAGCACCCAGGACCCAGGCTTTGCTCCGGCCGCCAGCGGGCACCTGGGACCTGGGCTTCCCTTGCAACCCCAGCTTTGCTGGAAGGTCGTCCAGAAGGACAGTTGGTTTAATTAGCATATTATGCTTTTATTATTATAGACTAGAGGCCTGATGCATGAAATTCATGCAAGAGTATGCCTTCCTTCCACCAGCTTCCCTCTGGCCGGAAGGACATCCAGAATGACATTCACAAGGACATCTGGTCTAATTAGCATATTATCCTTTTATTATTATAGAGGAGCCTTGTGTCCCCCATCAAGCCCTGCCTCCTGCTGATTGGTCATTACGCGTGAAGACGCGTGAAGGTGTGATGACCATTTGCATATTGGCCTTTTATTATGATGATGATAATTTGGGGACAAACTTTTGACTAAGCATTTGAAATTAGAAAAACAGTTGAATGAATGTCATTTGTTAGAGCTGTGCCAGTGCCTTGGAACCATTCATAATAATGATGCTTCACATTTTAGGATGTGACCTGAAATGGAAGAATTTAGAACATAAAACAGCCAGGACTGTGGCTAAGGAAAGCGGCTTCAAAGCAGCAAGCAAAGAAATACGACGGGCAGAGAGAACGGCTAATAAACTGGCCAAGCCAGGAGTCAAAAATCCGAATCCACTCTGGGCCCTTCGGCTTCATGACTGGTCAGTAGAATATGAGGCTGTACTTCGGGAAGCCTTTTCGTTTGTGGACAAGGGCGATGGGACAGTCAGCAAGGAAGATTTTGTGTTAGTGCTGGAGGAGAGGCAGGACTTCATACCCGCGGATCAGCTGAACTACATCGCTCAACTTAGTGAAAAAGTACGGGGAGCAGGGGTCAACATTAACGATTTTTTTAAGGGAACCCGATATTTAAGCAAGACTTATGTCTTGGGATCCTATGGGCCTAAGAAAAAGAAAAAAGGAATAGCCAAAAAGGGGAAGAAAGGCAAGTTCGTTTTACCCCTCCCAGTCTGCGTCATCCCTGACAATGCATTTCCACGCCGGAGTGATGGTGGGCCACCATATTACATGATTGAAACCTACAAGAATGTCACAGATTGCAATCGGTTTAATCGGGATCATCCGCCAGAACATCCCATTCAGGACGACTCTGCTTGGTACATTGATGATTCAGGGAAGATATTTTCAAATATTAACTTTCTCACCAAGGCAGGAGACCTAGCTTCTCTGAAAAAGGCGTTTGAATCAGGCATACCAGTGGATATGAAGGATAATTATTACAAAACACCGCTAATGACTGCTTGTGCAAGTGGAAACATAGAAGTGGTCAAGTTTCTTCTTGAAAAAGGGTATGTTTTTGGTTGGGTGAGGTTTAAATTTTCATGAGTCTTACTATTTCAAGAAAGTGATAGGAAAGCTAAGATACAGTCAACTGCAGAATTTTAATAGCACAAGAAAGTGCTTCACCCCTGAAGCCTAGACTGCTATCTTATTATTATATGGGAAACCAAGCTCATGGGAACATAGGAATGTATGTACATGAAGATGGTTTGCCAATAACAACTATGCACAAAGTGAAAGTCAAGACGTTTTCACTCTGATGGTAGAAGAAGTGTTCTGATTGGGTATCACAAGGAAAGTTAATTTAGTGTCAGATCTTTACCTAGTTGATGTGGAGTTGCTTTTCATTTTACTTTAAACTTAAAAAAATTTATTGTGGTAAGAATATTACATGAGGTCTAGCCTCTTAACAAATATTAACTATCTGATATAGTATTATTAACTATAATTATACAGCAGATCTCTAGAATTTATTCATTTTATGTGGAGTCGCTTTTTAATCTGCGTGTGTGTGTGTGTGTGTGTGTGTGTGTGTGTGTGTGTGTGTGTATAGGGGAATCCCAACAAATTCTAATAAGTGAGATGTTGGCTATAATGACTAAAAACATTTTCATACCCTTCTCCAGAAAAAAAGCAGTCTTTCCCTTGGTTCATTTATAAATATATTTAAAACCTCAAAGCATGATATTTTCATTTAGCTTTTTCAAACTTAAAACTTTATTGTTGAAATATTACATATATACCCTCCCCCCCCCCATTGACCCCTTCTAGCCTGCCCTGCTCCCAACCCTAGCCCTTCACCACACTACTGTCTGTGTCCATGGGTTATGCATATATTCATACAAGTTCTTTGGTTGATCACTTCCCACCCACCCCTAACCCCCTACCCCCACCTTCTCTTTGAGATTCATTTAACTTTTTAATCTAAAACAATTACTTGGGTTTAATTCCTTCTTTTACTATTGCTAAATAACCTGGGGTTAATTTCTTAACCTTTTTGTGCCTCAGTTTTCTCATTTTTACAATGGAGCCCTAATGGGACTCTGCTCACAGAATTCATTGAAGATAAAATTAGTTATGTAAAGCACTTATTGGCACAGTAATTACATACTTGATAAATTGTATCATTATTATTACTATATATGCAGAAATAGACTCAAAATGGAATAATATAACTCATATTTCCTGTCAGCTTTTATCTTCATTGGATTCAGGTTTTTCCTTTTCCTTGATTTTAACCTTTGCAAAATTATAACCTCTAGGATCTGAAGTGCCTTTTAAAGCTAAACAAAATGTATAGGTATACACAAAGATAAGAGTGTCTGATAATGCAGAACACTTGCCAAGAAAATCATGACATAGAGTTTAACTTGACTCAGAGCTTCCTTGGTTTACAGTTGAACAAGTTGATAAAACTATGAAGTCTTAGCATTTTTAGCCTCCAGTGCTTGAAACAACCCATGTTTTTAGCTTGTGCATCTATCTTATCTTGTAGGGCTAATGTTAATGCAACAGATAATTTCCTGTGGACTCCACTTCACTTTGCATGCCATGCAGGCCAACAAGATATTGTTGAACTTCTCATTCAATCTGGAGCCGCGATAGAAGCACTTTCAATCAACAACTCAACTCCTTTATTTCGAGCCATTGAGAGCTGTAGATTGGATACTGTCAAATACCTACTTGATATTGGTGCCAAATTCCAGCTGGAAAATAGAAAAGGTAGGTGTACATATTATTGGTGGTTATGGTTAGAAAATGAGAATTTATGTTCAATTCCAAACCCCTTCTGATTCTATTCTTGTAGGACCACATTTCCCACTGAAACATAAGTGCTTTGCAAATCACTGGTGTTTAAGGGCTCATTCTTTGTGTTGCAATCTTTCCTGGACTGATAGTTTTGCAGAATACAATAAAAAGTGATTTACTAGAAAAATGAAATGAGAAAAAAAACACCCACAAAATACAAGTGCAAACTGTCTTACTAGATCTAATGACAGAAAACTCTTCTATGAATTTGCTATAAAAATTTCCAAGTACTTACTCTTAACTCCTGTGCTTATTTCATTGTGACCCAATAAGCTTTAGTTTGTGGACTTCACCAGTGTGCAAGTCATACCTTGAATTATCACACTGTTTAACTGTCATCCTATCTAATAAAAGAGAAACATGCAAGTTGACCATAAACCCGACACCCTTCCCATTGGCTAATCAGGGCGATATGCAAATTAACTGCCAACCAAGATGGCAGCCGGCAGCCAGGCAGCTAAAGCGAACAGAAGGCTTGCATGCTCCAGTGACGGAGGAAGCCAATGTTCCCCGCCTGCTGCTGCCAGCCTCTGAGCTGCACTCTAAGCAACTATGTTGCAATTATAGAAGCTAAACAAGCTCCAGAGACCTGCTTTCAGCCAGCTTCGGCCTCAGAGCTTAGAGCTGCAGTGATGACAACAGAGTTTCAATTATAGAAGCCAAACAAACCTAGAAACCTGCTTTCAGCTAGCTTCGCCCTCAGAGCTTAGAGCTACTGTGATGGCAACAGAGTTTCAATTATAGAAGCCAAACAGACCCAGAACCTGCTTTTAGCCCTCAGAGCTGGAGCTAGCTCTCAGCTCCAGTGACAGCTATAGAAGCTAAATAAATCCCGAAATAAAATAAAAAGAAAAAAAGGAGAGGTTGAGAGCTTCAGTCACCCGCCAGCCTGAAAACGGCTCTCAGGCCCTCACCCAGACTGGCCAGGCACCCCAGTGGAGACCCCCACCCTGAAGGGGGTGTGACCAGCTGCAAACAGCCATCAGCCCGTCATCCAGGCTGGCCAGGCACCCAAGCGGGACCTCCACCCTGATCCAGATCACCCTCCAGGGCAAACCAGCCAGCCCCCACCCATGCACCAGGCCTCTATCCTATACTACAGGCAGGGCAGGACAGCGCGAGCTCCCATCTGGGCCCCATGTGCAGCCCTGGGCAGCAGGGCATAAGCCCCGCCCCCATCCGGGACCCCTGTGTGCCACCTGAGCCCCCAGCCGGGACCCCCATGCCGCCTAAGCCCCGCACTGCTAAGCCCCGCCCCCAGCCAGGACCCTATGACTATTGGAGAGCAGGAAAGTTCCGCTGGGGCCTGGGTCACTGTAGTGATCCAGCCATCGGTAAGTAGAAAAGTGCGGCCTGTAGGCAGCCCCCAGCTGGGCCTGATCCGGGAGCAGGAAAGCAAGCCCAGCCTGCGAGCAGCCCCAAACTTTCCCTGCTCCCCGGTTGCCATGAGGATCCAGGAGCAGGAAAGCAAGCCTGGCCTGAGGGCAGCCCCCAGCTGGGCCTGATCCGGGAGCAGGAAAGCAAGCCCGGCCTGCAGGCAGCCCCCAACTGGGCCTGATCCAGGAACAGGAAAGCAAGCCCAGCCTGCGAGCAGCCCCAAACTTTCCCTGCTCCCCGGTCACCATGAGGATCCAGGAGCAGGAAAGCAAGCCTAGGCTGCGGGCAGCCCCAAACTTTCCCTGCTCCCCGGTTGCCATGGTGATCCGGGAGCAGGAAAGCAAGCCTGGCCTGCGGGCAGCCCCCAGCTGGGCCTGCTCCCGGTTGCCATGGAGATCTGGGAGCGGGAAAGCCCGGCTTGCAAGCAGCACCCCCATCCTGGCCATAGCTCAAGGGAGAGTACAACATGCAGTGGAGGCCAGGTGCCTGAGAGATCAACACAGAGGGGCTCCTGCTCCAAGCCTCCATGGTGTGGCTGGGGGCAGGCCCCCAGCAGACACACACACACACACACACACACACACACACACACACACACAGTGCCTGCTCTGAGCCTCCAATGTGGCTGGAGGAAGACCCCCAGTGGGGACACACACACACACACACGGGACACCTGCTCCGAGCCTCTGCTGCCAGACTGTGGCCATCAGTAGGACATCCACTGAGGGCTCCCGGACTGTGAGAGGGGCAGGCTGGGCTGAGAGAACCCCACCCCCAGTGCACGAATTTCGTGCACCGGGCCTCTAGTTTTCTAATAATTGGCATAGTTTACAGTCTCTGGATTTGGATTCCTTCTAAAGCTAGACAAAGTCATTTCTGAATTGAGGCTCTCTCTAGAAAATAAACAGAAGGCCTGTTTTATAAATATCACAGGTGAAGAATAAAAAATCACATGATTTAATATTTTAGCTTCTTGCTTAGAGTTATCATTTTCTTATAGTGGAATCCATTCTTTTTTTTTTAATTTCAGAGAGGAAGAGAGATAGAAACACCAATGATGAGAGAGGATCATTGATTGGCTGCCTTCTGCACACCCCCTACTGGAGATTGAACCCACAACCCGGGCATGCACCCTTGACTGGAATTGAATGTGGGACCCTTCAGTCCGTAGGCTGATGCTCTATCCACTGAGCCAAACCAGCTAGGGCCCATTACTTCTTTTTTTAAAAATATATGTTTTGATTTAAGAGAGAGAGGATGGGAGAGGGAGAGAGAGGGATTATTTTTGAACAGAGAACATTAAACCTCTGGCTGCTTCAGGCTGCCTCTGAGTCATGGGTAGTATTGTGCTAGGCCTGCCCAAGGACATTACAGGTGTCACAAATCCTAGCCACCTGATTATAGCACTTGTGAGCATCAATTTCCCCAGACCTTTTAGAATATACCTCCTTACATAATGTCAAGGGGAGGACAACAGAAAGTTGTCACTGCTTGGAATGAGAACCAGCAATCAGATATTCAAAATGTAATCTACCAATATTTTCTATCAACTTTTTAAGAAACATGCTTGAAAAAATTGTTTGGCCAGTAAATGGAATTGCAATTATAAGATTTTAGAGTTGGGGCCACCTTTGAGAATATTTGATCTAGCTCTGTGATCTTACACATACCATTTGCTTTAGAAACACCTTTACTAGCCCATGCTAGGGCTGCTGTGCTGAGATAAGATTTTTTCTACATTACTTATTATTAACTTGTTTATTATAGCTCTGAATTTTTGTTTCAAATAGGGCACACTCCCATGGATGTTGCAAAGGCATATGCTGACTCTAGAATAATTGGTTTGATTAAAGAAAAGCTAGATAACTTGCCAAAACCAACAGAAAGCCAAAAACTTTTGAAACCCAAGCCATCTATTAAAGCGAAAACTGAAGTTTCTGAAATTAAGAAAGAAGAGGTAAGAAAAACAATGATTACCCATTAGTAACTAGAATGCCTTAAAACCTTGTTGGGGAACGGGGCAGTGGTACTATTTACATACTGTTACACAACATAGGCAAATAATAGACAATTTATATTTTCAGCACCATTTTGCAATACATTTAAAGAAATATCTAGCAAGGGAATTCCTACTACTGAAAAGTTTAAGAAATATTTGTTGCACATAGAATCCACACAAAAAACACATTGATTCAGCCAAATATAATTAGAATGTTGAAAACAAAACTGGTATTGGATAGGTGCATATCTGTATAATATATATATATATATATATACTAGAAGCCCAGTATACGAAATTCCTGCATGGGGAGGATCCCTAGTGGCTGCTGGCTGCCAGCCATGGCCTCCTTTCCCTGACTGCCGGCTGGGGCCTCCCTTCGTTCCGCACTGCCCCCTGGTGGTCTGCACACATCATAGTGAGCAATTGAACTCCCGGTCGGTCGAACTCACAAAAGGATACTTTGTATATTAGGCTTTTATATATATAGATTTTAGTCCTGAATTATTCAGATTTTATGAGATAGCCCAAAAAGGAAGAAGAATAACCCTTATGAGGAATGAAGTAAAGCATAATTTTCCTTCATTTTGGTCTTATACTCTTCATTACTCATTTTAAACCACCCCCACCAAGGAATTTTAATGATTACTGCTGAGCGCTGGAACATGAGGCCACTTGTAACTTGGATATCACACAGTATAACTCTAGAAGGTTTAAAATACCACACTGACTGATCCTGCTCATCTGGAGTGGTATAGTTGCCTCTGAACTATCAGGAAAAGGTTGAGGTTGTTGCCTATGGGGATTTCTGAGACATCAGGCTTTGTCATGAGCAGGGAAGCGTTACGTGCATTTCTAGGCTAGAAACTTTTAGGGAAGCAGAAGGATCCCTGGAGATTCTTGCAAACACATGACAAAGAATTAAATTTAAGAAGGAAAAGCTTTATTATCAAATGGAAAGAGGAATGGCATTTAAGAAGAAAATGCTTTATTGTTACCAAATGTAGGTGGTAGAAGTGGGTGGAGTGGAGGGATCATAGGCAGCCAGTAGAGAATAACAATCATAGATGACAAGAACAAGGATTACCAGAGGTGAAAGAGGATCAATCAGCTAAAGCTCCTACTATGTGCACCATTATCATTTCAGTAAGAATGCCTCTTTCTGACCAATGAATGGCCACAGGTCAAGGATGGATATCTTGAAGACTTATGAGATCTGCCACTGATATTACTAATTTACTAGACTTAAGAAAAAACATCTCTCTCTATCCAAAGTTAAAATAATATTCTATTCATTTCAAGTTATAATTTATGTAGTAATTATTTTTCTAGCTTCAGAGTGAGATGTAGAACAACAAATAATATTAGAATGTATATAGGTTTGTGGAGTTAATAGTTGTGTGTTTTTTTTGTCTTGTTTCCAGGAACCACTTTCATCAATTTATACTGTACCAACCATACTGGAGGAAAAGAAAATGCATAAGGATAATGTGGTTCATCTCAATTCATTGATTACCAGTGGCTATACCAAGAAAGTGAATATCACATTTACTCCACGGAGGGTAAGTACTTTGGAAAGATTTTTCATCATGTGGCATAAACTAATGATGTCATTTTTCAAAGACTTTTTATGCAGAACACAAAAACAAATATCCAAAGGTTATTTTTCATAGTTACTATTTAAAGGTGTCCTTTTGCTGACTCAGTAAGTCCAACTTGTTTAACTCCCAGTATCTTGTTTTCTCGATTACAATTTCTATATTGAAATTTTAATTTTTCTTGAAAGATTAAAGTCTTCTTTGGTCAATATCATTCCCTATCACCATTTAGTCAACAAGTGCTATAAATACTTTTTCTTGGTACCTTAGACCTAACCCTTCTTTGTACTCAACACCACCAATGCCTTAATTATTAGTAGTAGATTTATTCAGTAGCTTCCTAAAACATCTACAATTAAACAGGTAAAGACATTTTTGGAGAATAAGAGTGGTCTTGCAAATGCCCATCAAACCATGCTGAAAAAGAGACCACCAGCTCCCTCTGCCTTCTACTATGAAAATAATTCTGATTTCTCCATAAGACATAATGGTAGTAATCCCAAATGATCTTCTAATTCCATTGATTACTGGTTTTGACATCCTAAAAATGAACAGCAGCTGGCCCAAAGGTCATCAGAGGGGTAACTAAAGAGCATTTCAGTTGTCCAAATAGCACCAAAAATAGTGATGCCCATCTAACCACTGATGCCATATAAGAGGAAAAGACAAGTTCAAATAGATTTAGAAGTAAATTCGATAGTTTTGAATTAACCATATTAAAAAGTATCTTGATATAGCATGCGTGTGGCTGTCATACTTACACCTGCTCTGGCGGTGATTTTTCACTTAAGACCTGGAGTCCTGAAGCCACAACAGCAGAGCTGATCAGGAAGAGGGAGCTGCAGAGGGAGAGATTCACTTATGAGGTGGACTTTGAAGACTTCATGATGCCCTTTCAGAAGAACATTACAGAGAAAGCTCGCGCATTGGAAGCTGTTTTCAAGAACTAAATCACAGAGGTTTCGTCTTGGGTTAAACATTTCAAGGCCCAGGGACCAAACTTTGGAGAAGGTAGATATTTCCATCAAAACAATCCACAAATTAAGTATTTGTAACCAAACATTTGTTTTTGCTTTAACAACTATAAATATTCTGAGCTGTCTAGAGAAGGTGTGTTTTATTTTGCAATGAATTACATGTCATTCTGGACAAATCCCCCGATCTCCTTTAAGACTGTAGTGGAATAAATGGCATTTTAGTTATAAACATAACATTATTGTCAAAAAATGTACCAAATGTCCACCATTATGTTTGCTAAAGATATAATTCTGGGAATTGATTAAAACAGTTTAATATTGGGGAAGGGGAGTTTTTAGCCCATTAAGGGAAGTGTTTGCATCATCATAAGTGATGTGTATGAGGTAACTAAACTTTGACACCTGTGGCACACTGTCAGCGCTTCACCCATTTCTCCTCTGCGGGGTTGTAGCATTCTCAGGCCTGATTGCAGATGCTGGAAGGCTGCCTCTGACACTTAAATGTGTACAGTAGGGGCCAAAGTATGTGGGCATGAGAGTCTCCTGGAAGCAGCCCCCAAGAAGTGACTGAACAGATCCAGTGTATGTTGCCATCTGGTGGGAGCCTTCTAAAGTGCATGTTCTCACTGATTCCTAGAGCTCCCAGCAGGACTAAGATCAAGATGCCTACAGTGGAGATTTGTGAGATAGCACACCCTTCCTTGGCCCCCTTCTCTTCCCTGTCTTCTCACTTTCGTTTCACCCCTCTGGTCTTTATTGAGATCACCTCCCAAATACTTACACCTCAATTCTTGTTTCAAGGTTCTTTCTGTAAGGACCCAAACTAAGACAACATCTATGGTATTCTGATTCTGAGGCCCCTAGCAAATATCTTAAAGCGCATTCTCTTATCTTTCGCCTGCGACAAAATAAGCATTTCCCCAACTTAGAGGATTTGTCCCCAAGGTCTTAAGCACTTGAGAAGTAGTGCAAGTTGTATTCATACACTACTTCATACTTCATACTCATACTTTAGACAAAATTTCCAGATGTCATAAAAATATATATGATAGAGAATGACTAGATATTATATGTGATTTTTCCTTAAGGCAAGTATATGTGGGGCAAGAGAGAAGGGTGAACTTAAGAGACCCACCATAAAACCTTAAAAATGTCTTTTGGGCCTGGGGCCTGATCATACTTAGAAATGAGTTATGTCAGGGTTCCACCAGAGACATAGAACCAGTAGGTTGGATGGATAGATAGATGATAGATAGACGATAGATAGATAGATAGATAGATAGATAGATAGATAGATAGATAGATAGATAGATAGATATAAAGAGATTTATTGCAAGGAGTTAACTTACACGATTATGGGGGCTGGTAGGACAAGCCATCAGGAAGGACAGGGTAAACACTGTTGGACAAGAGATGTCCCTGCAGTTTCCAAGTGGGATTTCTTCTTCCTCAGGGAAACCTCAGTTCTGTTCTTAAGGCCTTTTAACTGATCCCCTCTACCCCCCGATTATTAAGGATAATCTCCTTTACATAAAGTCAACTAATTGTAGTTGCATGTACATAATTCCTTCACAGCAACACTACAGCTAATGTCTGGGTTCTATGGCCCAGCCCAACTGAGACATAAAACTGGCCACAGCTAGAGGTGTACTACTGAGTAAAAAGCTAGCTCACCCACACCAAGAGGTACAACGAGTGCTGGGGAGGGCCTCCAAAAATATCCACAAAAAGCCCACTGACAGCAAGAGTCCACTTTAGACTCTGCCTTACCAGAGGGCACACCTCCAGGGTACAACTCTGCCAGCCGTATACATGAAACCCCTTTCCTTTAAACCCCTCCCTCATTTGTCACCCGTGGAGGCCTTTAAGGCAGCTAGTGAGTCCAGGAGAAGGCTGGGTGAGTGAGTAAAGAAGCTAACCATGCCCATCTTCTCCTGAGGCAGGCTTGAACTGGGGTTGCTTATATATATTATAATATGGAGCCTGGAAATTAGCTATTAGAACTCAATTTTGTTTGTTTTATGAGGTTTTTTTGGTCTGTTTATTTTTTCATTTTAACTTAATGTCAGATTTACAGAAAAATTGCAAGATTTTTACAAAGAAACCCTGCATATTCTTTAACCAGATTACCAAAATATTAACCATCCACTTTCTCTCTTTATGTCTCTGCATATACATATGTGTATGTGTAACTTTTTTTTCTGAACTATTTGTCAGTTGAAGACCTGTAAACTTTCAGCATGTTTTTCCATAAAACAACTATATTACAATTGTCAATTAGGAAACCAATATTTGAATTAATTACATATTTAATCCACAGACCTTATTCAGGTTTTGCTATATGTCCCAGTAATATTCTATGGAGCAGAAGAAAATCCCAGACCATGGGCTGCATTCAGTTTTCACATCTCTTTGGCCTCTTGTAGCTTGAAACAGTCCATCCATCTTTCTTTGTTTTTAATGACATTGGAATATTAGAAGAATTCAGGCTAATTATTTTGTAAAATGTCCCTCAATTTTGATTGTCTCATATTTGCTCAAGAATAGATTCAGGGGATGCATTTCAGGTAGGAATACCACAGGGTTTCTCAGTTCATCTTATAAGAGGCACCTGATGCTGATATGCGATGTAAACTTTGTAAACCTTAATTAATCCCTTGGTTGAAGTGGTATCTACCTTATTTCTCTACTGTAAAGTTATTCTTTTTCCCTTTGTACTTACATGGATAGATTCTTTGAAATTACATACATTTCCTCTTAGTCCCACAACTCTCACCACCTAATTTTAGCATTTATGGATAATTCCTTCCTGAAATAAGTGTTCTAGTGATGGTTGCTATGACATGATATTCTAATTTGATCATTCTGCATTTCTCGGTTGAATCTCTACCACTGGGCAGAACTTCCTCTTCTTCCCTATTTATGTGTTTAAATCAGCATAGACTCATGCTTGCCATTTTTATTAAATGGGTTATAATCCTTTGATCTCATTATTTATTTTGATCCTCAAATTGTCCCAGATTTGGCCGGGGGGAGGCGGGGGGAAGCCCCTTCAAGCTAGTTCCTGAGAATAAGATATTTTGTTGCCTAAATTAATTAGGGGACTCCTGACATTGAGGGAGAATGCCTGCCCATGGTTTCATTTAGGAACACACCAAAAAAATGAATCTGCACAGTATATTTTCAGAGGCTAGAGCTTTCTGCTGTCACCCTAGTGAGTACTTTCTAAATGCCAGTTTTCTAGGTAGCAGGGTTCTGTGGTCACCGTCAGCTGTTTGCAAACATAAACTGAGAGAAAGTGATAATGTCAAGTCGTATTAATTCTCTTTTCTCTGAGTTTAATACTAAACCCAACCAGAGCAAAGTCAAAGTTTTTCGGTGGCCCTATAAGGCCATCAGTGATATTCAAAAAGTGGTTCATAGACCAGCAGCATCAACATTACCTGTGGGCTTGGTCCCACCTCCTCAAAAAATTATACTCCAGCCCTAGCTGGTTTTGCTCAGTGGATAGAGTGTCAGCCTGTGGACTGAAAGGTCCCAGGTTCGATTCTGGTCAAGGGCATGTACCTTGGTTGCGGGCACATCCTCAGTAGGGGGTGTGCAGGAGGCAGCTGATCGAAGTTTCTCTCTCATTGATGTTTCTAACTCTCTATCTCTCTCCCTTCCTCTCTGTAAAAAATCAATAAAATATATTTTTAAAAAATTATACTCCAGAATTCTACATAAGCATAAAGAGATTTTGTAGAGGAAATTTTTCTGGCATAAAAAGATAAATGGTGATGAAAGGAGACTTGACTTGGGATGGGGAACATACAATATACAGATAATATATCATAGACTTGTTTTCTAAACCCTATATAATTTTATTATTTAGTTTCACCCAATACATTTTTAAAAATAAAAAAGCTAATCTGTCAAAGTTTCATTTTAAAAGTCATTATAAATAGTATATATATAGTAATTTCAGATTTGTAAATATGCCACACACATAAATAGTAATTTGGGGGGGAGGCCTTAGAATTATGAATTGATTTTTATTGTATTGTTTGGTTTACCCATATTTTCTTTTTTACAGTGAACTTGTATTACTTTGTAATAAACAACAATTAAAAAAAAATACAACCTGACCCAGAAGTCTAAAATACTAAAGTGGTTTTATTAGTATTTGCCTCTTTCCCCCCCTTTATATATCTTGACTTAGTTAAGAGTCTCTCAGAAGGAGAGATTGAGCCAAGAATTCAAGAGTAAGGGGTTTGTTGAGGAAATGCTCCCAGGGAGAACAGAGAGGAATAAAGGGTTAAAGCAAGACAGGGAAGTGAAAGAAATCAAACAAGGGTGAGCTTTCCTATGAAGACTCCGTGGGGAGCTGCAGAGCACAGGCAAAGGCACTGGGCGTCTGGATTCCTACATCAGTTTACAGCTACAAGCTATAGGGGTACTGGTAAGGCTATGCCAGTGCTCAAGGGCAATCCAGTGAATTGAATTGGTGGGTCATCATCGTGGGAACTGTTGGCTGGAAAGCATACAGAAGCTGGCGGTAAGTGCATAGTATGGGAAAAGGGGCGCCAACAAGGTATTACAGAAATGCATATGCAGAGATAAACTTGAAAAGGAAATACTCTCCTCTAAACATGTCCTTATCTTTAAGTGAACACTTTGGTGAATTGGTTAAGAGTGTGGTTTTTACATTCAGCAGACATGGATTTGAATCCTCACTCTGCCATTTACTAGCAGGATGGCGATAGATCAGCTACAAATTGTGTCTGAGTCTCAATTTCATCGTCTATAGCAGCGGTTCTCAACCTGTGGGTCGCGACCCCTTTGGCAGTCGAACGACCCTTTCACAGGGGTCGCCTAAGACCATCTTGCTTATCAGATATTTACATTACTATTCATAACAGTAACAACATTACAGTTATGAAATAGCAACAAAAATAATTTTATGGTTGGGTCACAACATGAGGAACTGTATTTAATGGGCCAGAAGGTTGAGAACCACTGATCTATAGAGATAATAATATGCTCCTTAATGAGCTACTGTGAGACTGAAATGGAGTAATATCTGTAAGGCTTCTCGTTTGGTGCCTCCATATAGTTGATGCTCAATAAGTGATTTGTTTTTAACCTTCTATCAGCCTCATGTTGCAAGGTAAGGAGAAAAAAAAAAAAGCACAGGAATGATGACACAGAACC